TTCTGTGATGATAATTGTTATTATTGTTACTCTAGCCTGCTTCTGTGATAATGATGATAATTGTTACTCTACCTACTTCTGTGATGATAATTGTTATTATTGTTACTCTAGCCTGCTTCTGTGATAATGATGATAATTGTTACTCTACCTACTTCTGTGATGATAATTGTTATTATTGTTACTCTAGCCTGCTTCTGTGATAATGATGATAATTGTTACTCTACCTACTTCTGTGATGATAATTGTTATTTGTTAACTGACGTTGATTGCTACTCTAGCCTGCTTCTGTGATGATAATTGTTATTTGTTTGATAAACATTGTGAGAACATTCACCAAGATCTCTGAGAAGAAAATTATTTTGTTTTAAATGTCTCATTTATAAGATAACATTATTTTACATTTGTGTATTATCATATTTTTTTCAGATCTGAAGATGACAACTACAAGATGATACAAGTAGGTTAAATAATTTATTACAAATATATATTAACATTTTTGTTATAAATTAGTGCATGATGACATAATATTGCTCTGTCTCTGACACGATGATGTTACTTGGATGTATTAGCTCTAGCTGACACTTTAACTGGGAAGGATGTTCTTTTTGAGTGCTTGAAATAAATATTGCAGATAATATATATTGTAACACTTGCAGATTGCATGATGGCTTGTTCTCGTCACTAACGGAAAGTTGGATGTATCGAAGGTTAGTAGCTGCTTTTCTATGTTCGAGATGTTAAAAGGCTGTTAATAACGTACTGCAGTCATGACACACCTAACTAATTTTTATATGTATATAAAATAGTGTAAGATTCAGAAGGTGTGTTTATAATTACTTGTCTTGTGTTTGTTAGTTTTGGTTGAAACTTGAGCATTAACTATAAATTAACCTGGTTAGTTTTTAATTGGCTTTTTGTGAAAATAATTACGTGTGAAATTGTTATTGATTCATGTCTGTTTTTTTATGTATATATAATATTTTGGTTAACTGTACATGTAACAAGTTTCTTATGACACTACATGTTGTGGTATAAAGATGAGATTAAAATTAATTATTTAGCCAAATAATTTGTTTTATTAAGAATATATATTATACAACTTGCTTTTGTAATAGTTTTAATTGCAAATAATAACTGCAACGGTTCAAACAGGACATTTAGAGCCGAAGAAGTTATCTGAAACAGAAATGCAAGGGTCAGGTACTGTTCAAAATTTTTATCAACATTTTTTACAGTTGCACATGCAGTCAGGAAGAGAGAGTTCAACTGAAATCATCAACAATCATTTGGCCCCTATTTATCATCACATGCAATTTTAATTAACGTGTTACTACAAGAAAATTAATAATTGGAATTACTAAAACTATTAAAATCAAACAAAAACCTCACCTTCTTTGATCAATATCAGATACTTCCAAAAGAACGTTGTTACTAAACTCTTACGAAGGAAGAAAAAGACCCTAAAAAAGAAAATATTAGCTTTAAAATTTACAACTATATCAAATTCACCCCCACTCCCACATAAGTAATTTATAGACTATTCAATCAATGGTTGTTTTAATTACACAGTTTAAATTCATAATTTTAAAGAAAAACTAAATTAGTCCATTTAACCTGGCAGTTCTAGAAACTTTTATCCCTAATGAGCCAAGTCAATACCACCACATTATAATTTGTTACAAAATTAATTATATTACAAGTGACTTTATATTTATGGTGCAGATTATATCACACCTATAACAATAAATATCACAGGATATACAAGACTATATGATGTATCATTATTTCAATCTTTTCACAGGAAGGTATGTAATAAAAAGTATTATAAAATCTATAAAAACTCACAACTTTACACTCACAGAGTGTCGTATACAAAGAACTTAAAACTTATACAATATTAAATTTGATTTATTATCTATGGTTTGATGTGAAGTATAAATTTACGAGACTTTTCTTACCTAACTTAGTATCAATGTTTGGCCTTACGTGCTTGTTTTTGCCTATTTGAGCTGAAACTTTTAACATCATTTGCTTTATAAATCTAACATGGCTTATTCTCTTCCAATGTTTTAATATCTTCTATAAGCTAACAGTACAGTATCATGGATAATTGATGCAAATTTTTTTTTAGAATGATGCATACATGATGATTGACTAGCATTACATTTTTAAATTCTTTAAACTAAAAAGCAAATGATATAAAGTTGGTATATAGCATGAAATTAAAAAGTCACTGCATAAAAAATAATGCAACAAAAAATAATGTGCAATCATCATGTTGAAAGATTAACATTAAAAGATCAGAAAACATCCATGTTTTATTTAACACTAGCAAGTCTCAATGTTTTTACCTTTAAAAAAAATGGTCTTGCCCCCTCTTCCGAAATACCTGAATAAGAAATACAATAATATTGTAGATTACAATATTTTATGGGAACTTATCTTACTGTTTATCTTGCACTACGACCTCAGTTTAATTATTAAGTGGTGGTAGAACTCATCACTCAAAAGTCAAGAGTAGCAAATAGTCATCCTTGGTCAAAGCAATAAAGTAATGACTGAACAACTGTTGATTTTATCAATTACATTTTAAATACCAGATATTTACACTAACAAATTTAATGTTCTGCTCTCCATCAGTAGTTAAGCTATACAAGTACACTGCCAAACTAACATAGCTAACAAATGTTTCCACTTCATATACTTCAACTATGACAAGAGAATACTGAAGTTCGTTAGTAATTCTATTAACCTCCCAAATATCCAGTTTACCTTAACGAGTTATCTTAAAAGTATATAAATTTAAATCATACAAATGCATATTTTATAGCTAAGACACTGCATTGTGACCATTCTTATAAAGGAATGAAACCATATATTTTAAACGTCACAAGTACATTTGGTTTCATAGAAAAGTTTCACTTGTTTAACCCTCCAGGAATTTTAAAAATTCCAGCTTTAAGCTACGATAAATGTTAGTGGACATTAGAATCTAGAAGGAATTTATCCACTTCTATAACAATCTAAACATGCAAGAAAAAAAAAAAAAAATACAAACTATTATCACTACCTCATAACAAACACGTTATATTAAAACAATAAAAACTTTCCAATCATAGAAGAGCATACAACAGATTACAGACAGTTTAACAGGCTTTTAAATCATTAAAAAAAAGCTTTAAGCTAATTTATAATACCTATTGGTCAACCTTTTTTCTACATACTTTCAGTAGCATTATTATATCTTAAACAATTCGATCCATTAGTAATATTTTTGGCATGTACCATTACAGGAGTAACATTAATTTCTAAAAAATGTAGAAGACAATAGCCAAAATGTTAAGAATTAACTCAAACATTTACATCTAAGTCCACTTTGTACATATAATAATAATAATAATAATAATGATATCTAGAGTACATTAAGTCACACGGGATAGGGAAAACAATCAACATTTTGACAAATTTTTAAACATATCAACAAAAAAGTCACTATCAAATCACCTATCTTATACCACACGAGACTAACTCACCTTGCTTAAAAGGAAGCTTGTGTCACTATTCTCCTGTCAAACCCTACAGCAAGAAAATTTTGATAAATATTGGAATAACAGTAATAATAAATCATCTACAGTTTGTAAAATAAGCATTTATCAGAATCTGTTTATCTTCACTAGTATCAGTGAGAGAGTTCAAATGGAGTCATCATCTTTTATGCTCAGGTTAACACAAAGTATACTATTTAAATCAAACAAAAGAAAAGTACAGAAAAGATACAATCTTTAATACAAATTACACTAACTACAGATCTTAACTGTACATCAAGTTCAAGATTACCCCGACAGTGCTAGAATTAATAATCTGACCCTACCACAATTTTTTCAGAACATTCAACCATAAAATTATAGAACCAGTAAACACATTCCTACACAATTTTTTATATTTGTTTCATTTAAACAACTAACATGGTATAATTTAAAATTTAGCAAAATGATACTAAAGTTAAAAAAAAAAACTCCTACAATTTTTGTTTTCACCATAAAGTTATTCACTTGGAGTACCCTTTAATTTAAGAACAATTTTGTAACAAAGATAAAATTGTTCTGTGAAGTTTGATATATCAAATTAAAAATACTGTAGCAAAACAAACCTGTTTAATTGGTATCATTTGTCTGCAGAGTCCACAGGTATTGTGTTCAAGTCATTATCTAAATAAAATACAAGGAATGACCGTATTAAAGCTCACCTACTTACACAATGCCCAAACAAACAAAAATTAAAACAAGACCTCAGAAAGAATCAGTGGTTAGGTTATCTCCAAAAACCTTCAGAATGGTGCATGAATCATCTTGGGTCAAACGTAACTAGCATTAATTTTAAACTCAGATAATTCACGTCAAATCAAATTTTAATATTGTATAAGCTTTAAGTTCTTTATACTTCACGTCAAACCATGGATAATAAATCAAATTTTAATATTGTATAAGCTTTAAGTTCTTTATACTTCACGTCAAACCATGGATAATAAATCAAATTTTAATATTGTATAAGCTTTAAGTTCTTTATACTTCACGTCAAACCATGGATAATAAATCAAATTTTAATATTGTATAAGCTTTAAGTTCTGAATTGTATAAGGAATTTGTAAGAATTTGGATATTTGTTCTTGAGCAGTCTCTTCTAGATTTTTTTTTTTTTGTCCACTCCATAGAAAACTACGAAATACATTGTAAAATATTCTATAATTTTGTCATAGATATTCTGAATCTTATGTGGGGGGGCTAAAGAGCAATCTATGAAAATTCAGGAACCACTTTCCAATCCTACCTACGACATGATCTAATTTGCTAATAAATTTTTCTGAGGCCTACTCCATGTAACTTTAAAACCTGCCACTTCATTTATTACCTTAAGGAAACAAAAAATATGTTACAGAATATAATAGCATACAAAAAAAATATATTAAAAAATATAACAGCATCAGATGTTTTTAAGGTTTTCATCTTCAATTCAGAGAGATTCCCACATAAGTTTATCATCCTATGCAATAATGTTTGAAACACATTTTAAACCAGAAGAATGCAGTCAATAAAAAAAAGTTATACAAAGTTATATATTGACCGTCACATTATAATGCCCCCACAGCAGAAGGGCGAGCATATTTGGCAAGACTGGGATTCAAACCCACATATTGCGAAGCAAGCAACCCCCTAACCACCTGACCCAGCAGCAAGATAACATTGTTTCAAGGTTCATAACCAAAATTAAATACTTGATTTACCTTTTAACATGTACTTCTGCATCACCTCTATTATAGATACCGACCAGGTGACAGACTCAATTTTGAGACTAAATACTCAAAATTTACACTAGCGTTTGCTCACTTCTGAATTAATTATAATACTTAAATAAGCCTAGCATTTGCAAGTTTCAAAACTCCACTGGTTTAAACAGACTTAATATTCATGTAAAAGTCCATTCCATTAGCCTCAACTCTAACTAGGGTTGCTTGCTTCCCCATCAGGGTTTGTAATAGTAGCGATGGTGGAACATCTAATCACGTGACCCGAGCAGTTAGTGTTCCCGTGTGGAAATTTCTCAAACTAAATTGTCAACTATCTGCAAGTCCATATATATGCCAACTATAGCAATGAATCAGTTGACATCTAGGCATTCTACTAGGATCTCTGGGCTGCTCATTTTTGAGAACTTCCCATTTCCATTCTGCACTACAGGCCCTGACCATTTTGGAAGTTGATATAGTGCTGGGTCATGGGAAGATCAGTAACCTCAGATTGTTGGTGGTCATAAGGAGTCTTCTTCCCTTGAAGTCAGGTTCCTCAAACAAATTTGAGTCCAAAACTGGTTCTTCCTCTTCTCCAACTTTAATTGTGGCTTCTTCAACCTTCAAAGGAGGAAGCGAAAAACAATTTCAGAGCCTCGTCTAAGGAAAGATTTTTTTTCTGTCCAAGTACTGAAGATCTTCCATCTAAGAAAATTAATATGCTGTTAATATTCAGTTGACATAATGATAACATAATACATTTGAATTATTGAGCTTTGACTTTAAGAATACATTTAACAAATGTTTGTATATGTATGGACATAAGCAAAATCACAAAATATAGTAAAAACTAACTCATATGATGTACAACTAGTGAATCTGATTTAATTTATCAAATTAACATGTTATATAAAAAAGCATACATCTTACTTTGTGTGATATCCAAGTATAATACAAAAGAATCATCACTATACACCTAAATCATGTGCCTTCAGCACGTTGCCCGTGGAGCATTGTTACCAAAATTGTTGATGAAACAAGTCTATTTGCACACCAGCAAGGGGAACACCTAAACAACGATGTCAGAAGAAAAGCAAACTGCTGAAATATATGTTACTCCTGAAGAAATTTTAGCTTTTATTGGGTTAACTATTTCTGTACTTGTAAGTCAACATATTATGATTAGAAAGAAAAGTAAAACCCAATCTGATTCCTTTAGTTTCCTTCATTCACTTGTTTTAAAAGATATTTCCACTTGTTTTAAATACAATTCTATTTGTAGAAATTAGCGAGAAAAAATAAATACTTCAACAAAGATTTGCAAGAGCACAAAAATTGTATATTTTTTTTGTCTATATTGAACTGTATTTATTATACATTACTGTGCTCAGTTTGGTTTCTTTTACCATATTTTGTTTCTCCTCAAGAATAATGTATAAAATGTACAATATTTCTCTGAATAATATACAACTTGGATTATTGATCTTGGTAACAGTGTTTAGTTTATTTTTGCATTTGTATAAACATGTATAAATATATATGCATACAACTGTACTTATACTTATTTGTAAGTGCATCACTTACAAATTTCATGTTGATTATCCATACTGTGATGCTCCGTTGTATGTTGTCTTGATTTGTAGCTTTTGTATGAAATTTATATACTTTAATTTTTAAACCTTTTGCAAAGTATTACAATAAAATATTTATATATCATTTTGTATGTTTTGTAAATGAACGACAGGAGTGGGGGGGGTCTTGCTAAGTAATGATAGCAAGAAAAATTATAAAAACAAGTAGAACGTACAAATGACACAAAGTTAACGCAATACATACTAAATAATATTATTATAAATTAAATTATTGATTAATTAATTATTAAACAAATATCGTTTCAAAGTCTTAAGCCTTCTTCAGGTAAAAACCTTGCACTCTTAACCCTAACAATACTTGAAAGGTCGATTATCTCTCAATAGATAGAGAGAAACAATTAAGAAAAAAATCCTTGGAAGTTCAGTTATTTCTCAATACATGTAGAAAAGATACTTGGAAGTTCGGTGATCTCTCAATATATTGAGAAAAAATTAAGAAAAATATTTTGAAGTCAGTTGTCTCTCAATAGATGGAGAAAAAATTAATAAGGAAAAATACTTGGAAGTTCAATTATATCTAAGAGATGGAGAAAAAATACTTGGAAGTTCAGTTATATCTCAAGAGATGGAGAAAAAATACTTGGAAGTTCAGTTATATCTCAAGAGATGGAGAAAAAATACTTTGAAGTTCAGTTATCTCTCAATAGATGTAGAAAAAATACTTGGAAGTTCAGTTATCTCT